GGGTTCAGGGTTTGGGGTTTGGGGGACAGGGTCTTGATGATTGATTTACAGGATATATGGGGCTTCAGAGAAAGGTTGCAGAGGGTTTTAGAGAGTTTTGGGCGGGGTTTAGGGTTTAGGAGCTTACTTTATCCTAGGGCCAAAAGTGTTAAAACAAAGTTCAGACGGAGGCGCTCGCAGGGATGGAGCCAGTGATCCGCGGCCATGGGCGTCGCCGGGTCGTCGAGGACGATCTTCTGCACCTTCACCTCCTCCTCCTGGGGCTGAGGCTCTCCCTGAACCCAAAACCCCAAAACCCCTAAACCCTAAACCCCTAAACCCCTAAACCCAAAACCCCTAAATCCCTAAACCCAAAACCCCTACACCCTAAACCCAAAACCCCTAAACCCCTAAGCCAGAGCCTTGAAGGCATGAAGCTTCGGGGCTCGTCGAGCTCTATGGAGGTATGGACAAAGGCGAAGAGTCGGACACACAGAGCATAGCGAAATAGGTAAGCGATTAAACGGAAGGTTTTGGGTTTAGGGTTTAGGGTTTAGGGTTTGGGGTTTAGGGTTTAGGGTTTAGGGCACATAGCATAGCAAAATAGGTAAAGGATAGCTAGAGAACACTAGGCAGACCAGGCACAATGCTACAAACTGTGACAGCCAATCGAAAACAGCAAAAGAACATCACAGACAGTCAATGGCACTCCCACTGTCTCAGTCATGTCTTTCCTAGGTACATACAAGGGCAATAAGAGCAAACCACCGGAGAAAAAATTGGAAGAAAGGAAATGAAGAGGGAAAAACGCAGAAACATGCAAAATTATACCGAGAACAACGTTAGACACCTAGAAGGCCGTAGCCCTGCTGATGTCCAGCTTCTCTTACTGTCAGACTTCTTGGATTTCGAGGTTCTTTGAAATTAGCATGGATGAAAAAAGCATGCATTTCTAGGGGTTATGTCCCATGGAGATCGATTTGCAGATTGACTGGAGCTAGCGCAAGATATGGGGCAACCCTGATGCTCAGAAACCCTGAACCCCTCCGCCCGCCGTGATGTTCTCCGGCTGACCACACGGCAGTGTCGCAAAACGGACCTAGCAGGTGCACTCCAGAGCTCAAGCTCCCAAGCTCCACTCCACTGCCAGAACACAACAGGGTTTAGGGCTTAGGGGTTTAGGGGTTTAGGGTTTAGGGGTTTGTGTCGCAGCGCTTTGTACCTTTATAACGATTGCTTGCAGGGTTCTTTTTTCTGGAGACTCAAAAACCCCACACATCAAGAATACGCTCAAACTACAGTGATTTTTGGAGGGGGCCAGAAAATATACCCCCGAACCCCTGAACCCTAGACGTTAAATCTGAAATCCCTGTAGACACTCACCCTGTAACCCAGATGCCCTCTTGGCGCTAATTCTTGCCAAACCTTTCACCACTCAGCTAAACCCTAGCGAAACTTTCTGAAGCCCATCTAGATGCAGGGAAACCCCAAAAAACCGTCATAAACCCCCCTTTCACACACAATTGTAAACCTCATTTTAAATCCTCCCTGCGAATTCCTTGAAGAATCCTGATACAATAAATCGCTGCAACCTATGATATTCCAAAACATCAGGGCTTCCCCCCCTGCCTCTGCCATGTCCGGGCATGCCAACACCTCCCAAGGCGCCGGCACTGTCGTTGGGTGCGGAAGGTTTTGAGATACCAGGGCTTTAGAATGCGTCGATGGAGTTCTAGGCAGAGGCTTTTCGTAGGGCTCTGTTGGGCTATTCTATAAAAGTTCAACATGGGTTCTGAAAGGTCTATAAGCGTTCCTAAACGCTCGCGGTAAGGGTTCTGTGAGGGCTCCATAAGAATTCTCTTGCAAGGGTTCGCTGAAGTTACCGCGCGTAGGGCTTAGGGTTTAGAGTCCTTGTTGGGGAAGGGTAAGCCGGGCTTGTTCAGGGATTCATAATGGGCTTGTCCAGGGTGTATGGTGGGGTCCGCCTAAACCCTAAACCCTAAACCCCAAAACCCTAAACTCTTGTAAGGGATTAACGGGTCTACACATTGGAAGATGCTTCCTAAGGTTGCAACCTGCAGTCGCCCAGGATGTCCCCCAACCGAAGCACAGTTTATCACTTAGGAGTTTACCGGCTAAGGGATTTAGGAGTCTAGGGTTTAGGGGTTTGGGTTTAGGGGGTTTAGGGATTTAGGGTTTAGGGGTTTGGGTTTAGGGTCTCGGGATTAAACCGCAATGATTGATATACTGTTGTCTCGCACTTCAGACACCGTATCCTCAGGCTGTCCTACTACAGCTTCCCCAAGGTTCTCAAGGATCCTTGTACCCTCCCAGCTTCAACCATCCGCACCTGATAGAAAAACCACCGATAATCCTTATGTAGAGCCCTAAACCCTAAACCTAAACCCTAAACCCTAAAGCCTAAACCCTAAACCCTAAACCCTAAACCCTAAAGCCTAAAGCCTAAAGCCAAAACCCCAACCATGAAGCTCCCACTACCTAGGCTCCACAATACTCTTATCGCACTGGCGGGATCCCTTAGAAGGGTTCCTTGGAATCCCTAAAGGCTTCCCTTAAGGCTTCCTTCAAGAGTTCCTGAGTTCCCTTGTAGGAGCCCCCAAGAAAACCCCCATTTAGGGCTTAGAGTTTAGGGTTTAGGGGTTTCAGGGTTTAGGGGTTGTAGGGTTTAGGGTTCAGGGCCTTTAGGGTTTAGGGTTTAGGGTTGAGGGCCTTTAGGGTTTAGGGCTTCAAAACCCAATGAGTCCCGGCCTCCCCGTGCATCTCGAAGTACCTCGGATCCGACTAAGCAGCTCCCAAACTGCCAAAAAAAGGCTAGGGTCCCAACTCAGGGCTTAGGGGCTTCAGCTTTCGGGTTTAGGGTGTAAGTTTGGGGTCCTGGGTGTAAGTTTACCGCATAAAGGGGAGCTTAGGGTTTAGAGCTGAGGATGAACCATACACACCCTAAGGCCCTCAGTTGGTAGTCGGGGGGTTGGGAGCTGAGCATCAACTCTGAACCTCCTCAAACTTATAGGGTTTAGAGGTGAGTGCAAATTACGGGCCCTAAAACCTTCGGCTTTTAGAGTGTAGAGTTTTACGGTGCAGACGCTGTAAGCCCTAAACCCTAAACCCAACCGCAAAGCCCTAAGCCCGAGAGGTTGCAAACACGAAGCCACCAATCCGGTATCGACTCTTGGGCTCCAAGAGACCGTGTTCTCTGGGGCCTTTCGAATCAGACTGGGTTTCGGGCTTAGGGTTCTTGCATGCTTTTGAGATAACACCGAAAAACCCTGTGCAACACCACACAGAAGCCGCCATGAAATCGCCTAGTTCCTTACAAAACATCCTCACAGATTAGGCTTTTGGGTTTAGGGTTTAGGGTAAACGCTTGTTTGGCCAAGGTGCCCCGATTGCGGTTTCTTGTAGTCGGCCGACGTGGCAGTCTTCACCACCTGGGTACAAGTTGCCAGTCAGGGTCCAAAGTGGGTTTGGGTTTAGGTGCTGTGGATTCAGGGTTTATGGGTTTAGGGGTTTAGGAGCTTTGAGGCCAAAGTCAAGTCCAAAGAACGTGTACAAGGGTATTTCAAGGTTTTGTGGTGGTGTTTAGGGTCCGATGTTCCTAACAGTCAGGTATTTTGGCTTGGGATGATACCAACTTCGGTGTATCTTGGTGAATGGGTGGTTATGAGATACTTGGACCCTCAGGACTACATTCAAACCATGGGATTTCGCGTGAAACCCTGCCAAAACCCCTTAAGGCTATTGGACGAGGGCAGTGTCAAGGGTTTAGGGTTTAGGTTTAGGGTCTTCCGGGTTGAAGGTCTGAGCTTCAGTCCTCAGAGGCTTCTCAGCAGGAATAGTGCTTCATGGCCCTGATGAGTACTTACCCCATTCCCCTTATAATCACACGAATATATCTTGAAGCAGCAGAGATGGCCTTGTGCAGATTAAATTGGGGTTTTCCGCAAATAGGGGACCCGACTAGAGTGCCCTAAATAGCAGGGTCCTTACTATAAAGGACCCCCCAAAATGAGGTACCCCTCATTTTCGGAAACTCCCATTTCTACATTCCTGATTGCCGGTACTCTAGGGCTCCATGCCACGATGTCCTTCCAGGCTTCCAAAACAGACGTAGGGGTTCGGAGTTGAGAGCTTCCCTAAACGCAAAGCCCTGAACCCTAAACCCTAAAAACCCTAAACCCTAAGCCCTCAGCCCTAAACCCTAAACCCTAAACCCAAAGCCCTAAAGCCTAAAGCCTAAACCCTAAACCCAAAGCCCTAGAGCCTAAACGCTCGACGGCTTTGGGAGGGGAGCTTTACTTGGGCTTTGGGGGAGCTTTTGGCTCAGAGTTAGGCTTAGGGTAATTTTAGGGTTTAGGGCTGAGGGCTTAGGGTTTAGGGTTTAGGGTTGAGGTTTAGGGCTTGGGGTTTAGGGCTTACGGTTTCATGATTAATGGTGTCAGACTATCACAGGGCCTGCGAAGATGGAAACAAAATTTCCCAAAAACTTCTTTCGCAAGCCATGGGAGCCTCTAGAAAGTCTTATTCAAGAGCCCCGAGGCTCATCGGCTCAGTGTTTAGGTCTAGATTTAAGGCTCTGGGTTTGGGCTGTAGGGTTCAGTCTTGCTCAACGGAAGTGCAGTGGCTCAGTGTTTAGATTTAGGCGTTAGAGTCTGGGCCGTGCGGTTCAGTCTTACTCGACAGTCCTGAAGTGCCGTGGCTCAACGTTTAGATCTGGGGTTTAGGGTGTAAGGTTCAGTCATACTCAACAGTCCTGAAGTGCCGTGGCTCAGTGTTCAGAGGCTTCGGGGACTTCAGTGTACGATTTCCGAGTAAGCACATAAAGGACTTGCGAAATGCAATGCCCGGGCGCGTTTCTGGACTTTTGCAAGACTGGCTCGAGACTTTTACAGAAGTCTCCTTGAAGCCGCTAGTACACCTGCATGGAAGGTACCATTGAAGGTAAACAAGAGCGAGAGGAAACAGCCAAAACGACCCCAGATGATGGCTAGTGAGCCATGAACCTTGAACCTCAACAGCCAAGCCCCAAACCCGTAAACCTAAACCCTAAATTTGTCTCCACAAACTCCATAAGACCCGCTGACACCTCAGACAAAATAAGATAGACCCCTATGAGATCCCTGAATTTTGCCACATAAAACCCTTATGACAATCCCAATCCCCCAAAGTCCACTTCCCCCCGTGCTGTGGAGCTTACCCAGCTGCCATCAGCACAGCTTGCAACCGCACCATCCACCTCAGCTACCCTCCACTCAGGGAGCCCGGCCCACCCAACAAGGAGGGTCAATTATAGGGTTTAGGGTTTACACCTCACATGAAACTCTACAACAGCTAACTTCAAGATGCCCCCAGAACTAGTTACTAAAGATATTACAGTAAGCATGGCAAGTATTTTGAAGAGCTGGTTAACACTGGGTTATCAGTCTGCCTCCCCGAAGTCAAAAAGCCTCAAAGGCCCCAAACACAATAGGGCTCGAGGTAAACAGATGGGCCTCCATGCTTTGAAGAGTGCTTTATATCAGAGTAGAGTCTTGGTAACCAAAATAGCTGGCATGAGGGCTCAAAATTCAAGGTCTGCATGACGTGCAAGGCTTAGGGCGTAATTAGGATGTAAAGGTTTAGGGAATAACGCCTGAGGGGTTTACTGGCTTTCAGAAGAGCATTACCAGGGTCTTGCGAGGGTTTATATATGCGCGCATATGACTTTCTAAGCTCTTTTGCCAAGGCTGAGAAATCTTAAGGTCTCAGGGAGTTTGGGGGCCTCTTGTTGGTTTAGGGTTTCGGGCTTTGTTTGGTGTGGGATGTAGGGTTGAGATTGAGGTGCTTGGCCACGTCGGCCGGCAGCCCTGAAACCACAAACGGGTCTTGGGTCTAGGGCTTCCGGACTTGTGGGTGTAGTAGTTTCGGGCTCAGGACTCTCTAGCCCTCGGCTTCTTTCTTCGGTGCCAGAACTTGCCCTACACCCTAAACCCTAAACTCTAAAGCCCGGAGCCAAACGGCGAAAGCCACTCAGACCAAAGCTTCAACAACCGAGCCGCGGCGTCCCGATGGTGATACAGCACCAGCTGATCCGCCGGCAAGGTTCCGGGACTGGCTTTGTAGTAGATGACACCTGAAATCCAAGCGCCAAGGCTTAAGATGGGTGCCTGGATCAGTGAACAAGAGCTTTGCGGCAGGATTTTGGGGGCATGCTTATCGTATAGTTGAAGAACTCTACAAAAACACGATTGCCAAGTACTCCGGCCCCCTTAAACCCTCAACCCTAAACCCTAGACCCTCAACTCTAAACCCTAAACGGCCCACGGCCCTAAACCCCATCTTATCCAATATGGCAAGTTGCTGAAAGCTCGAGGGTTCAGGGCTTAGAGATCCGGCTTCGGGCTCAGGGTTCACACCTGAGGCCTCTATCTTTTGGGTCGCATCCTTTCGGGCTTTGGGCTTCGGAGTTTGAAACCCCCTTTAAAAAAAAAGGATCCTAAATCCTAAAACCTAAACCCTGAACCCCATATACCCTCAATCCTAAACGCTATAAACACCCTAAGCCCTACAGACCCTAAATGCCTTGAACGTTGCTCTCTGAACCTGCCAATTCAAGCCCAGCAGCTGTTTCGCAAGGTATCCGTGCCGACCTCGGTGTGTGCAGGGCACTTTGGGGAGCTCGCGTATGTTACTTAGGGCTTCGAGTTTAGGGTTTCAGGTTTGCGGCTTAGGGTTTAGGGTTTAAGGTTGGGGGGTTAAGGATTTTCGGAGGTTCGAAGCTTTTGTTCGGCATGAGTTGACTTGGCAAGGAGTGTCAAGCCTGCGGCATTCAGGCGCGGTCATGGTTTGGGCCTGCCCTAAACCCTAAACCCTAAACCCTAAACCCTAAACCCTAAACCCGCGGCCTGCCCACAATCCTTAGGCCCTGGTCCGACATCTTCAGGTTCTAATGGGTTTACGGTGTTGCGGGAGCCCACTACCCAACGAATCTACCGTATGTCTATCACATTAATTATGAATCTGCTCAAACGACTACAATCACCATGCCCAAATCCCTGAACCCAACCCTGGGAATCATGAGGTTTCGGTTTGGGATACCAAACAGCTCTCGAAGAAACATGTTCGAAGACATCCTTCTCAGGGCCGTTGGTCCTAGTCTAACTGGGCTGTCCCTGGGAACGGCCGTTCTCCGACACTTCGGAACCCCGACAGCTAAATCAGAAACCCGAAAAACGAACCCTAAAACCTCTACACCTCTAAACCCTAAAGCCCCTAAACCCACTAAAACCCTCAGCCGGGCTGTGACGGGGCACTGGGCAGTAGATGCCATTGTGGTACCAGGTTTGGGTCCGCACCTCGCTCATGGGGTTTCCGAAAATAGGGGACCCTTCTAGAGTACCCTTAATAGTAGGATCCGTATTATAAGGACCCCAAAATAAGGTACCCCTCGTTTTCGGAAACTCCCATTTGAAGCTTGATCTCTCATGGCCTAGCTTTGGGCCCTGAGCCTTTGAGGTTTAGGGCCTTGGGTGTAGGCTTTTGGGTTTAGGGCTTGGGGTTTAGGGTTAGGGGTTCTTTTGTGGAGCCTAAGGCGTGCGGCTCTCAACGTGTCGGGCTGCGAGACTTGGGGCTTTTGATGGAGTTGAGGATGTTGGGCCTATACGGATCTAACCTAGATCCAAACCCTCAAACCAAAACCCTAAACCCTAAAACCCCTAAACCCAAAACCCTAAACCCTAAAGCTTTAAGAACCACGGCCATGGGTATGGAGTTTCGGGCTGAGGGCTTAGAGGCATTCGGGGGTTTGGGGTTTAAGGCTCTGGGGGCCGGAGTTTGCAGGCTTGGCGGCTCCTGGGTTACGACAAAAGCTGGTATCAGGGGTTTAGGGTTTAGGGTTCAGGGTAAGCTTGGAGATCCCTTTCAAAAACATAGACAAAACCGAAAAAAAAAACTTAACAAGCCCCCCACGAGCCTTGTAGCACACCCTTAATGCTGAATCCGAGGTCCTAAACCCTCAAACCTAGGTTGGTGGTGTTGGCGGCTGCCCGTTCCGTTCCTGTGTCGCAGGTCTCAGGTGTCAACTCGCAAAGCCCAAACCCTAAACCGCCCGAACCGCACACCGCAAACTCAGAGCCAGCAATGAGCCGGAAATCCTAAACCTACCCCTCAACCCGAAACCATAAACCCTAAACCATAAACCCAAAACCCTAGAGCCCTAGAACCCTAAAGCCCTAAAGCCCTAAGCCCTAAACCCTAAACCCCTAAAACTCTAAACCCTCAGCCCGAAGCCCTAAGACCCTAAAACCCTAGAACCCTAAACCCTAAGACCCCTAAACTCTAAAGCCCTAAAACCCCTAAACCCTCAACCCCCAAGCCCTAATCCCTAAAACCCTAAACCCCCAAGACCCTTCGACTCCCTCAGCTTCGCAAACTTGGGCCGAAGACCTTGCAACCCCCGGCAAAAGCAAATCGTGTTTAGGCTTTAGGGTTTTGGGGTTCAGGGGTTTGGGGGTTTAGGGCTTAGGGGTTTTTGGGGGGTTAGGGGTTTAAGGGTTTAGGGTTTAGGAATTTTTAGGGGTTTAGGGTTTTGGGGTTCAGGGGTTTGGGGTTTTAGGGTTCAGGGGTTTGGGGTTTATGGTTTTAGGGTCTTAGGGCTTTAGGGTTTTAGGGTTTGGGGGAGGGGAACCCTAAGAAAATAGCATTACTCATCAGTCAGGCTTCAAAATCAAACACCGAACCTCAAGCAGATTGGGCCTCTCGGCAAGTGTCCGTGTTGGAGCAGTTCCAGATCTTCGCCGTGGCCTGCAAAACAGAGCTTCCAATGCTTGGCCCAGAAAGCCCTAAGCAGACAAAGCAAGCTCAGGTGTCGGAAGGGCACCGGGATTAGCATAGCATCTGATGCGTCAAGAAGGATCTGCAACAAAACCCACTGTAGCAAAGTCAGCCGCAATTTCTGCGAAAACCGGATTGCCAAATGTCCTCTTCACCCCATCCTTGTGCGTTGTTGCAGCAGGCAAGGGGCTAGAAGGCCAGGGCCCTGGATTAAGATTTCCAGGCTCCGCAGAGAGAACTACTCTTCCCATGGCCGGTAGGATGAAAGAAAAGAGCTTGTTAGAACTGATGGTACTCATGGTACTGTAGGGGCCATAACAGTTTGAATAGGGTTTGGGCCTTGGGGGGGTATATTCCCGTGCAGTTATGATGAGGAGCATCGGCAACAGTGTTTCTAAGCAGTTGTTCGCGCTTCTTGATTAGACTGGAAGCTGGTCCAATAATGTCCATTCACCCCACGAAGGCGACAAAGCGCCCAAAAACCTTTACAGCACTAGCGGCCACTCGCGTTTAGGGTTAAGGAAAATCCCAGATAGCCGTCGTTGTCTAAGGGATCCTGAAGAATACCGCCTCTCTTCTGCCCACCGCCCTAAACCCCTAAACCCCTAAACCCCTAAACCCCTAAACCCTAAACTCCCAAAACCCTAAACCCTGAAACCCTAAACCCTAAACCCCCGAAACCCAAACCCCTAAACCCTAAACTCCCAAAACCCTAAACCCTGAAACCCTAAACCCTAAACCACTAAAACCCCAAACCCGTTTAGATGAACCCGACCTGAAGCCAATCGCCATCTGCGCGCTTCACGACTTGGGAGCAGTTGCCCTGCCCGACAGGGAGTGATTCTGGGCTCTTGTTAAGGAATTTAATTTAAGTTACAGCAGCTACCATAATAGGGACCTACAGTAAATTGTTAAGGCATTTAGTTTAAGTTACCATAAACGGGATCTATGGTAAATAATAGGGTTTCCTTAGTATGGTAACTTAAACTAAATCCCTTAACAAGAATCCAGGATTTGGTGGACTTCTACGGACCTAAGGACCTGCCTCGCAACAGCAATGAGCCGACCACGTTGGCAATAGACGATGTGATGAACAATGCAAACCATTAGGGTTTAGGGTTTAGGGTATAAGAAAACCAGCATTGGAATAGACCTAGTGACAGAGTGGCCGAACTTATACATTAAGGACGGTAGGCATACTGAGAGACCCATATTTCTCATAGGACTACCCATGGTAGACACCGATACCAAAAAGATACCAAAAACAAACTAAACCCTAAACCGTAAACGACAAAGTCCAAACCGTCGCGTCCGGAAGCTGCTGAGATGGCACCAAGACTTCTTTCTACCCACAATTCCACTGATCGGCACAAGCCGCAGGTGATGACACAGGTCCAGCAATCGGCATGCTCGTGGCGTTTGTGTAAGGCCTCATGAAGGCTTGTAGGGCCCCTGGCCAAAAATCAGCTCCATGGCATGTCCAACACTGCTTTGGGCCTTGCGGCTTTAGCTTTGTTCGGGTTGAAGAAGGGTCTTGGGACTTAGGGTTTAGGGTTTAAGGTTTAGGGTTTTGGGTTCAGGGTTTAGGCGTCGGGCTTAGATGTCATCAATTTGTTGAACCCCAGGACATTAACTAGCCTCTAAAACCCACGGAAATCCTTCCAAAGACGGCGCTAGAGACCGCCTCGCAGAAGCCTCCCAGGGCCTTATAAGAGGGCCCCCTTTTAAATCGGAGCCCATCTTCGGGGCCCCGTATCCTTCATCCGCAAAAAAAACCTTAAACTCTGAACCCCTAAACTCCTGAACCCTAAACCCTAAACTCTAAACTCCTGAACCCGAAACCCCAAAACTCTAAACTCCTAAACCGCTAAAATCCTAAACTCCTAAATCCCTAAACCCTTTATCATTGAACCTCCAATCCTAGCAGGAACCTGGCAGGTTCCCTAAAGCCCCAAAGCCCCCCAAAGTCCTGCCCTTGAAGGTCTGTAGAGCCATCTCGGGCAAGGCATTACATGATTAGGGTTTAGGGTTTACGGCTTTAGGGTTTTGGGGCTTTAGGGTTTTGGAGTTTGGGGTTTAAGGTTTGGGGGGTTTGGGGGGTTTGGGGTTTAGGGTTTTATGGAACTCCACCGACTTCACCCCGTGTTAAGACCCCAAACCCCTCTGATAGAATCCTCCAAGAAGCCGTGCAAACTTCATAAGCCTCAAACAACCGTGTATATAAAAGCGGACGTCAAGCTCTGCAACAAGACAATTCTCAGCTCCATAAGACCTTCGAAAACGGAAAACCAGACCCTACCG